GCTTGGCCTGCTGTGTTCATCCAGCCCTGCACCTTGTTGTCTCATGTAATTGCAGCTGTTTGGTTTTGTCTCTAGCACCACCTGATTTTTAATTTTTTTACATTATTTCTCTGCCTCAATTAATTGGATTATAGGTCATCTTTTCACTTGTTATTCAGCTCTTGATACCTTACTCACGCCATCTGACACTTTTGATCACCTGCAGAGTCATACTGTTCAGCCTGTTGACACTTCACTCACACCATTTGTATGATCTTTTGATCTCTCTGCCTATAAATTCTGTGCCTGTACGCTGTTCTTCGCTTCACCTGACATAGGGGCAGCGCTCCAAAAGCCCTTGATTTCAAATAAACCTGTTGGACTATAAGCTGGTGTCATATAACTTCTGACCTTGTCCACCCCAGTCTAACACCTGCACCTCCACATCACAATAGAATTACAAATTATACCCAACCCATGAACATTAATCTTAAATAACTAACATATATTACACTTGAATTCTGATATTAGCTGTAAGCATAAGCAGGTAGGATTGCACTTCCCACTGTTTGGATAACACTTGAAGCATTTTTCCACCTTTGGTAAGATTGACTGTGGATCAAAGACAAAAAAAAAGAATAACGAGTGGAAGCAGCAATTCAGGTTAAAATGTTACGGTAGTGAAAAGGAGGTTTAGATGAGAGCACTAAACTGATAGTTTTCTCTTGGTGGTGTTCACGCCCTTGTCTTTGCTTTTAAGAGAATTGAATTGGTGATCAAGCCATTACTTGCTGTAGTGTACTGTGCTGTACTGTTCTATGTTCTATGTACTTGAGGCATTGGGACCATACATGGAGAGATAAGTAAAACCTCATAGATCATTTGAAAAAATCATGTGGGAGTCAAGAATGCGTCTTGGGATACCGATGTAAGTGTGCAAAAGTGGATGTTAGCTTAGAGGTAACAAACCTGGTACGGTAGAAAGCATGCACTGAAGAATGGATTTCAGACATGTACACCTACTTGTCAAAGGATTTGTGTGGCTTGGAAGAGCACAAAAACACAGTTTAAATGATAATACACTGACACAAAATCCAAAGAGAAACTGTCTTTAAAACAATAAAAGTAGTATTAGTGAAAGGGATGTAAAAAGAATTATGATCAAAACAGAAGTGTGATTGGTTATTATGTCAAAATGTCACAGAAATGAAAGAATATGGAGCATGGGAGGAGTAATGGTGGACTGAGTGACGTACAGATACCCCATCTTGAGTGTTTGGATGATACATGTACTCCAGTGTTTAAACCAGTGGGTGAAATTGTAATGTGGTGCGACAGTTAGTGTATGTGAAAGAAGGTTGAACTAAGGTGGTGTTGGAGTCTGTGGTAAGGGAACCCCAGGGAAGCATAAGTTGAAGGTAAAGCCTGATGAATGTCAGAGCTGTATTGTTTGATTCCATGTATATTGTCATTCTAAAGGGGGCATGTGCATTTGGAGGTAGTTACCACTCAATGATACAATCATTCATAACGTTGACAAGGAAGGAAACGTATTGAAGAAGTATCCTCAAGGCAGATACAGGTGAAGAGAGCTGGAGAAGTTTTGAGTCCATGTGTAATGTTATTTTACTGTTATTGGGTGAGGTGATCTGTGGATAGGGAACTAGAGGATAAAAAAAAACCCAGAAATTAAGTAACCTGAATCTGGAATATACTGAATTTTAGAGCAAATTATGTAAATAGAAAAAAAATATAGATAACTAGTTATTATAGGGATTAGTTATACTAGTTATTTTCATTGTAGTTTTAATCTTCTAGTGTAGATTATATACTCTTATTCTACGTTCTCGTGCGGCTGTCGCTGATTTGCACCTGCATCTGTAATTGTAACATGTGCTGTCAATTATCATCAGGGGTGGATTGTATAGGATGAGCTGAAGGGCTAAAATTGTTGATGATATTTGTCAGCTGCATGATCTTGAATGAGTCATGTGAACATTCCTGTACGTGCCAAAGACGACATAATCAAAGTTGCTTTTCTGTACTGGTTTCTGTATTGGCTGTTTGTTACACTATGTAAGAGAGAGTTTTGTTCCAAGTCGTCAGACTTCACCTCAGACTGGGATCATGAATGGTGCCAGGAACAAGCCTAAGCCTCCTGACCAGCCATTGATCGAGGGGTCCCTGACGGGCAGGAGGGTGTGAGGTTCATTGCTTTCTTTTCCTTCCTTTCTCATCTTTTGTAATTACTTAATAGATGGTCACATTTCAATCCTTCTTTTTCCTTCCAATTTCATCTTTTATTATTACTCAACAAATGTCCATATCTAAGTAAATTTATGTTGTCAAGTCTTCTCTTAACTACATTTCACCAAATCCAAAAAGAACCACTATACTAAGTGATCCAAGACATGGTCCAGTTCATGCCCACTTACATTTACGATTCCTTTGACGCTTTATGCCAGTTTCAGAATTCCCAGTTTGTGGGCTCCAGCTGTCTCCTCTTAACCATGGATATGCAATCCCTTTACTTGTCCATCCCCCATCAGGATGGTCTCAGGGCTCTCAGCCTCTTCCTAGACAAAAGGCCCAAATCGTCTCCATTTACTACCAGCCTCATCTGCCTGGCCAAACTTGTCCTCACCCTGAACAATGTCTCTTTTAACTCCTCTGATTTTCTTCAGCTCAGACAGATGGCCATGGTTACCCACATGGGTCCCAGTCATGCCTGTCTCTTTGTGGGGTACAGGGAACATGCCTTGTTCCGGTCCTATTCCAACCCTCACCCACAATACCATCTCCATCATTGGTGCTGCTTCCTTCTCTCATCCAGAATTGGAAATATTTATTGATTTCACTTCCAATTTCCATCCTGCCTTCACTTTCACCTTGTCTATCTTTGACTCCTCTCTTCCCTTCCCTTCCTCGACATTTCTGTTTCCATTTCTGGGAATAGGCTGGCCGCCAATATCCATTACAAACCCATCGACTCCCACAGTTATCTTGAATAAACATCCTCACACCCTCTTTCCTGTAAAGACTCTATTCCATTCTCCCAGTTCCTCAGTCTCCATTGCATCTGTTCCAATGAGACCAACTTCGACAATGGAGTCTCCGAAATGTCCACGTTTTTCCTCAACCGAGGATTCCCCAGCACCGTTGTTGAGAGGGCCATCATCCAGGTCTGACCAATCTCCAACATGTCAGCCCTCACCCCCTCTCTTCCCTCCCACAACTGCAACAGGGTCCCCCCTTGTCCTTACCTCCCACTCCATCAGCATCCATATCCAGAGGATCATTAACCGCCATTTCCACCAACTTCAGTGAGATGCCACCACCAGACACATACTCTGCTCCCCCCACTCCTCCCTTGTCATCCTTCTGCAGGGACTGTTCCCTCCAGGACACCCTGGTCCACTCTTCCTTCTCTCCCAAAACCACCCTTTCAATCTTCCACTGCAACTGCAGAAGGTGTAATACCTGCTCATTTACCTCATCCCTCCCCAGTATCCAAGGGCCCAAACATACCTTCCAGGTGAAGCAACACTTCACCTGCACTTCCCAGAATCTAATCTACTGCATTTGCTGCTCACAATGTGGTCTCCTCTACATTGGGGAAGCGAAGTGTAGGCTGGGTGACTGCTTCACAGAACATTCCATGTTCTGTCCACAAAAAAAACCCTGAACTTCCAGTTGCCTGCCACTTTAACACACCACCCTGTTCCCTGGCCAACATTTCTCTCTCAGGCTTGACGCAGTGCTCCAGCGAAGCTCAGCGCAATTTGGAAGAACAGCACCTCATTTTTTGCTTGAGGACCCTGTAGCCTTCTAGATTCAATATTGAGTTCAACAATTTTAGGGCTTGAGCTTTCCCATGGCCTTAGCCCAACCTCCAAACACCAGGCCTTGTTATCACATGGTCTGCTATTTCGCACAGCCCATTGTTAGTCACTAACAATCCCCAGTAATAGCTATTCATCCTCCTAGCTGGATTGTTATCTACTCCTTTGTCTGTCAAATTGTTCATCTCTCTCTTTGGGCTCTATCTCCACCTATCATTTACTCCTTACTCCCTCCCACTACCCCATCTTCTGCATGTAAGTTGACATTTCCCCAGCTACCATCAGTTCTGAGGAAGAGTTACTCAACCGAAAACGTTAATTCTGATTTCTCCCCACAGATACTGCAAGACATGCTGAGCTTTTCCAGCGATTTCTGTTTTTGTTTAAGCATTTTTCTTTGTGTACTCAATATATAAGTTGACCCTTCTTTATAATCATTACATTCTATACTTACATTAGAAGTCAGTCTTAATTTTTAATTCCACAAATATTGCTTAGTGGTACTTTACACATTGGTGCAAGGGAATCGAGTAAGTATCTGACCTGTGTTGTGAAAATGCACAGGAGTTTAACATTCACTGACACAGAGCAGCTGCTGTGTGGTGAATAATAAAGAAGGTGATATTTTACACTAGTGGTTCACCCTGATTCTCAGCACACAAGCTAACCATTGTTTTAGGTATATTTTTGAAGGTCTCGAACGTCTACATACGGAAACAACTGCAACCGTAAATGGGGATCAGTGTCAGCTGCCAAATAACCCATCAGGAAAGTTACAGTTGTGTTTTTTACGGATTGGAACAGTAGCCCAGGAATGCTTCAAATCTAATCTGACCTAGTGGGACCCCAAGAGTGTAACCGAAGTAAGGATTTCAATTCTGTCAAAGTTCATAACTGTAAATTAGAAACAAAGTTCGAGTTAAAGTTATTTTCCTCTAGAAACACTTGCAGTAGCCTCTTATACTTCAATATGTATTTGCATATTTCTGAACATTACTGCTGCAAAAACTGTTGAGAGTTAGTGTCTTGTTTTTAAGAACTCTTTTTTTCTCCACCTAAGTAAAAATAGGCATTTTGACATGTGTTAAACCAATACACATTTTTAGATTATGTATTTCCTCCAAAACTGACGGAAGAAAACGCTTCCTGTTTCAACTGTTTACTTATTTTCTTTCACTTGATCAGTTTTGAGAACCAGAGCTCTGATCCCAGGTCTTAAGGTAAGCCAACTTTTTGAATATATACGTGTGGAATACAGAGAGTGAATTTCTATTTGTATGTAACACTGCTGCTGCCTTTAGTCACCTCCGCCAGGAGGTGTGCTATCATGATATACTCTGCTCATGTTTTTTGCACCATCCTCTCTCATCTGTAGTTCATCTGTAATCACTTTCTGACATCTGTGACCCACCTACGCTGAGATAAACACATCTAATTTTTCAGCCCTGACCAAAATACTGACACTTTCTTTCCTGGCTGTCACTGTTCAGAGTTTATAGAGTCATAGCACTGTACAGCATGGAAACAGACCCTTTAGTCCAACTCGGCCACGCCGCTCAGATATCCTAAATTCATCTTGTCCCATTTGCCAGCATTTGGCCCACATCCCTCTAAACCCTTCCTATTCCATGTACCCATCCAGGTGCCTTTTAAATGTTATAATTGTATCAGACTCCACGAGTTCCTCTGGCGGCTCATTCCATACAAGCATAACACTCTGTGTGAAAAAGATCCCCCTTTAGTCCTTTTTAAATCATTCCCCTCTCACCTTAAACCTAAGCCCTCTATTTTTGAACTCCCTTACCCTGGGAAAAAGACTTTGCCTTTTACCCTATGCATGCCCCTCATGGTTTTATAAATCTCTGTAAAGTCACCCCTCAACTCCATCATTCCAGGGAAAATAGCCCCAGCCTATTCAGCTTCTCCCTATAGCTCAAACTCTCCAACCTGACAACATCCTTGTAAGTCTTTTCTGCATCTGTTCAAGTTTAACAACCTCTTTCCTGTAGCAAGGAGACTAGAGTTGGATGCAATACTCCAAAAGTCGCCTAACAAATGTCCTGTACGGCCACAACATGACATCCCAACTCCTATATTCAATGTACTGACCAATAAAGGCAAGTTTATTTTATTCATTCATGGGATGAGGGTGTTGCTGGCTAGGGAGCATTTACTATTACTACTATCCCTAACTGCCCAGAGGGCAGTTAAGTGTCAACCACATTGCTGTGGGTCTGGAGTCACATGTAGGTCAAACCAGGTAAGGATGGCAGTTTCCTACCCTAAAGGACAGTAATGAATCAGATGGGTTTTTCCAACAATGGATTCGTGGTCATCATTGGATTCTTAATTCCAGATATTTACTGAATTCAAATTCCACTATCTGCTTAATTCGAACCCAGGTCCCCAGAACCTTATCTGGATCTCTTGATTAACACTCCAGTGATATTACCACTAGGCCATTGCCTCCCCCAAATGCCTTCTTCACTATCCTGTCTACCTGTGACTCCACCTTCAAGGATCTATGAACCTGCATCTCAATGTCTGTTTGTTTGGTAACACTCCCCAGAATCCTACCATTAAATGTACAAGTCCTGCCCTGATTTGCCTTACTGAATTGCAACATCTCACATTTATCTAAATTAAACACCATCTGCCACTCCTTGGCCTATCAGCCCATCTAATCAAGGTCCCATTATACTCTGAGATAGCCTTCTTCACTGTCCACTACACCACAAAATTTGGTGTCATCTGCAAACTTACTAACTATTCCTTCTATATTCACATCCAAGTCATTTATATAAATGACAAAAAGCAGTGGACACAGCACTGATCCTTGTGGCACACTGCTGGTCACAGGCCTCCAGTCCGAAAACCAACCCTCCACCATTACCCTCTGCCTCCTACCTTCAAGCCAATTTTATATTCAAATGGCTAGCTGTCCCTGGATTCCATGTGATCTAACCTTGTTAACATGTCTGCCATGCGGAACCTTGTCAAATTCCTTGCCAAAGCCCATAAAGACAATGTCCACCATTCTACCTTCATCAATTTTCTTTGTCACTTTTTCAAAAAACTCAATCACGTTAGTGAGACATGAGTTCATAGAATCATAGAATCCCGACAGTGTGGAAACAGGCCCTTTGGGCCAACAAGTCGACACGGACCCTCAAACATCCCACCCAGACCCATCCCCCTATAACCCACCTAACCTACACATCCTTGAACACTATGGGCAATTTAGCATGGCCAATCCACCTAGCACGCACATCTTTGGACTATGGGAGGAAACCGGAGCATCCGGAGGAAACCCACGCTGCACAAAGCCATGTTGACTATGCCTAATCAGTCCTTACCTTTCCAAATATATGCAGATCCTGTCCCTCAGAATCCCCTCCAACAACATACTTACCACCAATGTCAGGCTCACTGTTGTACAGTTCCCTGTCTTATCCTTACCACCATTCTTAAATAATGGCACCACATCAGCCACCCTTCAGTCTTCTGGCACCTCATCCATCGCTATCATCAGCAAAGGGCCCAGGAATCACTTCTTTTTGCTTTTGCAATATCAAGTACCTTTTCATTTATCTTACAGTGTATAAATGGAATTTTTAGCTTACACTTTAGCAATTATACTTCAAAAGGTGTCTATTTTCTTCAGTGAATCTTTACTTGTTGTCCACGTTTCTGAGGTATGCAAAAAGGTGGATAGAATTTAGCAAGGTAGGAGTTTTTTCAACCTTGTTTCAAGCTTGAGTTGTTCTTGTTGTTAATCTATCTTTCGCCTCCACAAAAAATATTTCTGTCTATCACTAACTTCTAATTTCTGCACGGCATCTACCATTTTCTGTTATCATTTATCCTAAATAGATAAAATTATCTATTTGTTCCAGTGTGACACATTCCATCTCAATGCTTATTCTAGATTCACCCAATGTAATCCTACTAACTGCCATTGCTTTTGTCTTTTGTCTTTTGTTCTGACGAAGAGTCACTGGACCCGAAACGTTAACTCTGTTTTCTCCTTCACAGATGATGCCAGACCTGCTGAGCTTTTCCAGCAACTTTGTTTTTGTTCCTGATTTACAGCATCCGCAGTTCTTTCAGTTTTTATTGCTTTTGTCTTTTTGGTTTTCACTCTCAATCCATAGTCTAAACATGTAGATTTTGCTCGATCTGAGATATTTTGGATAGCCTCTTCTGATTCTAACCCTATCCCTATTGTGAGTACAGCTGTAATGTCAGTGTATCGCAGGTTTGTATAATTGCGTTCAATTTGTATTCCAAAAGTACATCAACATCTCTGAATACTTACATGTAATCATGAATTTTTAACAGTTAGGTTTCTTGTGTCTGCACATGTGGTGTATGAGTTGACTCAACATGCAAGGTGCCCAAGTTCCCTAGGTTCCAAGAATCATATTTTCACATATACTTGAGATATAAGTCAACTCCACCCTCATCCCACCCACAATCTTTTCAGCATGACTCCGTATATTTTCATTAGTAGTGAGCTTCAATATTTTACCATACAAATGGATGTTTTACTTAACAGTACCTTATAACTGTTTACAAAGTTTCCATTAAATGACACAGGCTGTGTTGCAAAGGTTCATGGGAGTAGATTTGCCCAAAAAGAGCAGACCCTACTTGGCAAATGAGAAAGATCAAATAAAAACTAAAAATTTAGACTATGAATTGAGTATGAACACCAAAAAAAAACCAATGGCAGTTAAAAGGAATACAATGGCAGAAACTAGAATGCAGATTGAAATGGAATATGTCATATTGGAACAAGTAGGTAATATTGCCTACTTAGGATAAATTACAACAGAAAATAGCAAATGTGATAAATTAGAAGAAAGTTAGAGGTGGCCTAAAATAAGTTTTCTGAAGATGAAGGATGTGTTTAACAGCAAAAAAAATTCTCAAGCTCGGAACAAGTTAGAAGAAACTAATAAGATGTGAAATTCTATCCATTTTTTGCAACCTTAGAAACATCAAACCAACATATAACTTTACTTTTATATTCACTGAATAATCCAAAGTCCATTTGTGGAAGGATGACTTGTATGCTGACAACATGACTTTTCTAAATTGCTATGTGTCTTTGAACAGGAAATAAGAATCAATGAGGAGTTTAAACATAGGAAGTATGGTTGCATTTTCACACAACAAATTTGCATTTTTTAAATCTAATATATTGATTAGGACTCCTGCAGCTCTGTTAGGTAAGAAGTTCCAGAATTCAGCCCTAGTGTTGATGAGGGAATAGCAATTCTTATCCAACTCAGGGTATTACGTGACTTGGATCAGTGGCATGTAGTTTTACTCTCCCCTTTAATGCTGAATTACACAGCAGGTGAAAGGTCTTTGTGTAGAATGCTTTTCAGCTGACCGTTCATCTGAGAGATTCCATCATCAACAGATGGCATTTGAAACTGATGAGAAATGATTAACTGATTTCCACGGCTCCTCTTTGCTCTGGGGTGGTATTGGGGTCGGGGCTGTAAAGGTGAGTGGAGGGTGATGTTTGTCCCTGAAGTAAGCTGTGCCTGCCGGTCTAGTTGTGTAGTTCAAAGGGCCCATTAACACGCTGTCACTCCAAGCAGATGCATTCCTTTAAAATGGCATTTTGTTAGAACGAGGCGATCTACACACCCAGCATTTAAAAGGGCAGATTTTAATTTAATGAGGCAAATACTACAGGAAAAGAAGTTTTGATGAGCTGACATAAAATGCTAAAATAAACACAGAAAATGCTGGAAAAACTCAGCAGTTCTGGCAACATTTTTGGAGACGGAAATGGAGTTAACATTTCTTCACCTCTTGGCTGTACTATTACTCGCTTTAAAGGGTGTGACTGACTCCTGTGCTGCAACTCTTCCCTCTTCCCGATGACCCACACAGTCTGCACCTCAAACTCTAGCTCAACAACAGTCTGCAGCTGAAACTCCAGCTCAACAACTCTGAGCTGGTATTCCGTTACAGGTGTGGCTGCCCGAGATTATGATGTTTTCATACATCTACACCAAGCTTCAGAAGCGTGACACTTATTGTACCATTATCTCTATTCACCCTTATTTCATATATTTACTGAATTAAATTTGCAATAAATGAAATCACTTGGTTTATTTTAGATGATTCTAAACTACATAATTTAACTAATTTAAATTATTAATTTAATGCAGTATTAGTTGTAGATCCCATTTACTCGTTTCCACCAGTCTAGCTCAGAGAGTGAAATAAATCTTTTAATCAGAAACGAGTCACTAAAAATGTTGGAGATAGTAGGAACTGCCTATGCTGGAGTCTGAGACAGCAAGATGTGGAGCTGGATGAACACAGCAGGCCAGGCAGCATCAGAGGAGCAGGAAAGCTGACGTTTCGGGTCTGGACCCTTCCTCAGAAATGTTGTGTTGATCCAGAAAAATAGGCATCAATGGAAAATCTCTTTTTGAAACTTTTGTTATTGTAGCATTTATCTTTGACCCTTTATGCTATCTTAGTTTGAATTATTTATAGATGTTTATCTTTTCGTTCTGTTTTCAGACTTTTGTATATAGTTGTATTTATTTATACTGCAACACTAGGGGGAGCACATGCTACATACGCACAGTGGCAGTGTTCTTTGAGTGTTAAAAGGGAGAAAGAACATCTGCTCGGATTCTACCTACGGTGTTGGTGTGAGTCCACCAAATTGTGAAGATATATGGAGCCTGTGAAGAATTACTTATGTAGTGTTTCCCAGATGACCATTGTTGGCTTCTTATTGTATTTTCCATCTGTAACTTACGGGGTGGGAGACTTTTTAAAGGTAGTTTGTTGCCTCAATGAATCGTTGCTTTATCGTGGGCCTACACGGTGATCAGTGGTAGAGGATATACCAACATACAGTATCTGCAGAGGGAGGCATTATTCTCGGATGACAAGACGGTTTATTGCAAACAACATTAAGTAGAACGACTTGTAGCCCAGTACAACTACCAGGATATTACAGAACTGATACAGATACATCTGAACCCACCTAAAGCTGAATAGAACTCTTCGTCTCCGCACACAGGTTGTGTATGACATCAGTAAAATAGGTGGATCCAATGTGACATGAACATAAACCCCTTCAGAACCATTATCTTATACAACAACTCGTTGAGATTCTTGCTATCTGCATTTTTCTATTTTTCTATGCATTGGCCGTGACCCATTATAGACTTCCACTTGGCCCCATATTGTTGCCTACAACCATACAGAATTAGTGTTCATGTTTTGTAGATTATTGCACTAATAAACTAGTCAGACAGTGAATTTTAGAGTTCTGCAGGCTCTGACAGTAATTATAAATATAAGATAACAAGGTGTAGAGCTGGATGAACACAGCTGGCCAAGCAGCATCAGAGGAGCAGGAAAGCTGACGTTTCGGGTCGAGACCCTTCTTCAGAAATGGGGGAGGGGAAGAGGGTTCTGAAATAAATAGGGGGAAAGGGGGAAGCGGATAGAAGGTGGATAAAGGAGAAGATAGGTGGAGAGGAGACGGACAGGTCAAGGAGGCAGGGTTGGAGCCAGTAAAGGTGAGTGCAGGTGGGGAGTTAGGGAGGGGTGGGTCAGTCCAGGGAGGACGGACAGGTCAAGGGCGCGGGATGAGGTTGGTATGTAGGAGATGGGGGTGGGGCTTGAGGTGGGAGAAATGGTTAGGTGGGAGGACAGGTTAGGGAGGTGGGGACGAGCTGGGCTGGTTTTGGGATGCGGTAGGGGGAGGGGAGATTTTGAAGCTTGTGAAATCCACATTGATACCATTGGGCTGCAGGGTTCCCAAGCAGAATATGAGTTGCTGTTCCTGCAACCTTCGGGTGGCATAGTTGTGGCACTGCAGGAGGCCCAGGATGGACATGTCGTCCAAGCAGTGGGAGGGGGAATTGAAATGGTTCGCGACTGGGAGGTGCAGTTGTTTGTTCCAAACTGAGCGTAGGTGTTCCGCGAAGCGGTCCCCAAGCCTCCGCTTGGTTTCCCCGATGTAGAGGAGGCCACAACGGGAACAGCGGATACAGTATACCACATTAGCAGATGTGCAGGTGAATATCTGTTTGATGTGGAAGGTCTTCTTAGGGCCTGGGATGGGGGTGAGGGGGGAG